ATTTAATTTCAGACCTATTGATTTGTTGACAATAAAGAAAAACATTGAGACTGGTGTCATTCGGACCACTGCAGAATTTCAGCGTGATGTAATGTTGATGTTCCTTAATTCAATAATGTACAACAAAAGTAACCATTTGGTGCACAAAATGGCTAAACAAATGCAACAGGAAGGAATGCAACATATTCAGGTACAGTAATTGAATCGTTAAATAATTTTTTTAAATTCTTTTATTTCTTGCTAATTATTTGCACAATAGCTATTTGACAATAGCGCAATATCGTGAACGATAGCTCATATTTTCTAGTATTAATGATATCGGTTAATTTATTTGATAATATTGCACCTTCTATCATACCATCACTACATCAACTCATGAAAAAACCAAAACTATGAATTTTAAAGTTAAGTGTCATCAACACTAATTGTTGGAAAAATTATCGTTAACGATGTTCTATGTTCTTGTTTTTGTAACTTCATGTGAAACAAACTTACAGGATTTCATAACTACTCAAATGTTGGTGCAGTTGTTGGGGGATGGAGTTCCAATTCGACTGAAGACGCCCGCAACGAAAACTGAACAGCCAGATAAAGCAACGAGAAACATTTTGGGGGGACAATCCTAGCAGTGTTCCCAACCCAGGATGAAAGTGAAAGTGTCCAGCTTCACAAACGGAAACGCAATGCTGCGTCTGATTCTTCAGATAGAGGATTTAAAAAGAAAAAGGTAATTGGCATATTTATCTGCCCTATCTACCATAAATGCTTGTGTAAAAAAATATATTAATTTTTGCCTTCCAAGACTTTTTCAAAATTTTTCCACATCTACAGACCATTTAGATCCAAATTGGGTATTGTTAACTCTTTGTCACTTAAGTTAATGTGGATACCTGAAAATTGTTGGCTCTTGGTGTCAGATGGATTGTGTTTGGAGCACAGGCATTTGATTGCATCATGTTCAACCCAACCATAAACGTGTTCAACTTCCGGATCATTTTATATTTGCTTGTTTGGGCTTTAGGGCTCTCAAAGTGAGCCAGTATGTTAGATTGACCGAAGCCCAGATCTTCATTCACTCTACCTCTTGTACTCTTGGTATGCAATTAATTTGAACGTTTTGACAGTCTGTTCAAAAGGTCTCTTTACTCTGTTTTCAGTAGATTGTTGGGGCTCTTAAATATCATTACATTATTTTGCAAAACTTTAACCCCAAAGAGGCAGTTTTGTTGAACTTGTTCTAAGATAATAAGTTGTGAGGTTAGGCTATGAAATCAGATTGGAATCAGAATGGAAATCAGATTAACAAATTTGAAGCAGCCTGGGAAAACAGGAAAAAAGTCAAACTCGATTTGAAAACTGGGATTTAATTTTGTTGTATATGTAATGTAGAGAAAATTATATAATACAAAAAAACATCAAAATTTCTACAGAAAGACACTTTTTAGGGTGTCACTAATGCTTCAAAAATGTTTACACAACAGTCGACATAAAATGAGAATAAAATAATAAAACATAGATACCATATTTGTATTACAGAATAGGTTTTTTAGTTGTAAATGTTGAAGCTAATTTTGGAAAATAATTGTGTTACATAAGTTTTACATATAATTGCATTTCTTTGAACCTTAGTATTCCTTTTTGCTTTAATTATATTTTATCATTTACATCTTATTTTTTTAAAATATTTTGAACTCTAATTCTTTAATAAAAGAGTTGTAAATGAGAAAAAAATTTATTCTAAAAAGCCATTTTCATCTAAATTTATGCTGCTCTGTTATGAAAATATGTCTATTTTTGACTTTTAAAGACCTATTTTAGGTACTTAAGTGGGAGATTTTTGGACCTACAAATCCTAAGTCAAGTAGCATTCGATTGTATGAAATGATTTTAATTTTCAGGTGGACGAGTGAGGCTAATGGAGTTTATCAAGATATATGTTGTACAGATTTAGAATTTTAATTATATTTGATGAAATTATTTATGTTAAGATGTGTTTAAAAAGTTTGTTTCTTCATATTTCTATAAAATGTGAAGAGAGTACTTCAAGAATTTGTATGGTGCATTAAATGTCAGACATTCACATTTCAATTTCAAGTTTTAATTTCATTTTGTAATGACAATGTTGTAGATTGAGTGGAAGGGAATCGTATATTTTAATTTGTAAGAGAATCAAATTACTTTTTTTTGTACAAATTTTCAATAAAATTTATACTACATTTTGGGAACAAGGACTATTTATTAATAATTTATTTGAAAGTACGTCTCACTTGAATGATGTTATGTAGAAAGTGAACAACGTACAAAAATGTAAAAATTAAGCAATGGCACTTTCTAGACAGCTGAGCAACATTTCTTTGATATTCACAATGCATCCAAGCAAGGTTTGTGTTGTGCTGATCTTTGGAAGCAGAAAATCTAAACCACATATTTATTGTTCTTACAGTCATAAATTGCAAAAAGTGACCAAATTAAATAATTATTAATAAATATTTATTAAATTATGAAAAGCAATTGTGAATTGATGTAAATATTAATCTCATACATTTTTTTTTTTTCGATGTGCATCTTTGCTGTTTGAAATTTTTTAAGATGTGTTCCAACATTCCATTTTGTTTTTAAGCCATATTGATTCTTGTAGCTTGGATATTTTCCAGATAACTATTCTACAAGGAATCTGGTTGCTTATTTTATTTGTAGAAGAGTTGAGATTTAAGTACTTGTGGGATCCGTGTGCAGGAGGAAAAAGAGTTAAAGTAGTGTTTGGATGCAATATCACTGGAGATTGAAATACCAAATCTTGCACTCTAACTTTCAAATGATTTATAGGGAAAAACTAAAGAATCCCCAAATTCCACTGAAGGGAACCACACTGGAAGCAACCGTAGAGAACTACAATATCAGTCCATTGAATACAGGTCTCCACACCCACTTTTCAGTTTCCTGTGGAATCTTCTCATTTAAAGATTTAGCCAATCGCCTAATCAACCCTGGGCAAGACAGTCCTCGATTATTTATATGCGAGGTGTCATTTCCACCCCGTCCCCTAATGGGATATTACAGCAACCAGTCTGTCCAAAATTTGGGTGGTCCCTCTGTCTAATAGGCCTTTCGAGAACATCAATGTAATGACATCCCATTTCCCAATGCCACAATTTCCATTTCTAAGGCTACTGGAGGACTGGGATGAAACACAGTACCAAGCTGGAACTCGTATTGTGCGAATGAAGAAGAAGCCACTAGCACAAATTAACTGCTAAAAATCTCATAGAATGTAAATAGGGTTTGAGTCCAAGTGAGAAAAATGATATGCGAAATCAAATTCACTTCCTGGAGAACCTGCCTAACTTCATTTTCATGTTACCCTTGCGAATACTGTCTGGACGAAAGGAAGGAAAATTTAAAGGACTCTTTCCCTTTATCCACAGTGTTCGGGCTTTTAGAGAATGGGCATCTACAAACATCACCAGACAATATTGGGGGTGCTTATGAGAATATAAAAAAACTCCTCTCATGGGTCAGGAAAGAAACACAAAGTGATGTTGAAACATATGCCACAACTAGGTAAACAATTCCTTCTTAATCTTTTCAATTTATTTTGTAGTGAACATACCATTCCAAAAATAGGCTGGAAGGAACCATCATGCCAATCCCTAAGAAAGGAAAAGACTGATTATTTCCAACAAATTATCGCTAAGCCTCCTTAACGAGTTTTGTCAGTAAAATCTTCGAACGTCTGGTTAGCCACCGTGTGGTCCCTAGAGTCGAGGGGTTTGCTAACTAGTAAGGGGAAGTAATCCAATGTGGATTCAGAAAATATCGATGAAGCTTGGATTAATTAGTCACATTAGCAACTCGATCCATTTGTCAACTACAACACAACACTTGATTTGCCACTATGACCTAGTTCTTTATTGGGTCCCAGGTCATGTTGGAATCACTAATATATAGGAATAGTGAAATGACAGTGGATAGTAGGAAACTTTATCAGAATAGCAACAAAGAGGAAGGCAATAATTGAGAGTAAGGGGGAACAGTTGTGTGTCTAAAATTTTGGGTGAATTTGGATAAAATATTTACTGGAGTAAATATTTATCGTGATTTTTTTTACGGAGGCATTCATGGTCATGCTTTATCCCATTTTGTCACCTTTTTTTGTGTCCTTGTCCCACTTTGCCTCCTTATCCCTTTTGTCCCCCTTTCCCCATTTCCAATTTTATCCATTTTGTTCCCATTGTCCCCTTGCCCTCTTCGTCCTCCTTTCCATGCTTTGTTCCACTTGTTCATTTGGTCCTTCTGCACACTGCAGGTTTTATTTAAAAACGGTACCAAGACCCTGTAGCATCAACCCTTGCTACAGAACATCGGGAGTAATATCAGACCTTAATTCTTGAAAGTGTTCAACATTTATTTTGAATAACCACAATAAAAAAGACATTGGATGTAAAACATGCTCTATTAGTCTTTTAGAACTTGCTACATAAATAACTATTGTCAATATTCTAACCGATAGATTTACATGCATCAGATGGTGAACAATTTTTTAAAATTTATTTTAAATTACTTGAGAGGTTCAAAAAATTATCAATTTTAGTGAATTGACTCTAATTGAAGTGAGAATTTCTTCAGAATTTTAGATGTAGTGGTGTATACTAACAAAATAAGTAGCTCATAAAACAGATTTTCTATTGAAATAAAAATTGTTCACCATCTGCAGCATTTATATCTAATGGTCACAATATTATTGCAAAATTATTTATTGATAGTAGCCATTTAATATTGCAAACATTCTTGCTGGAAAATATTATTGTAATTACATACCTCAATACAGTTGTACATACACAAAAATAAAGGGACAAAAATATGTATTTTAATTTTTTTTAAATATGGCGCACCAATCAGAAAAATCATCCAGAAGATAACAGATTTTTAGAGCAAAGTTTGGAAATTTTTTCGTTTAACAAGCGGAAAAAAAAATTGAATTGGTTTAAAAAAAATTGAAAATTTTAGAATCCATTTAAAAGTATAAACTACACAGAAAATAAAATTTTAAAAATTATTTTTGAAAAATTGAGTAAATTTAACATAAATAATCATAGCTTTCAATGGAAATTCATTCACCCAATTCATAGGAAAAGTAAAAACACATTTTTCAATATTATGAAGGATGTGTAGGGGGAGGAATGTAATAGTCCATGAAAAAATGTTTTCGTGGTCACAATCCTTAGGAAAAATTTACCTTTCAATTTCAAGGGGGGGGGCTTTTTATCATCTTATCCAGCTAGAGCCTTTCTAACCAGTTATCAAGATATTTTGCAAATTGTTTAACACATCAGACTTTTTGTGACTATGGGACTACAGAAATAAACATCATTTTGTTGTTGTTTTTTTATTTTATTTGTGTCTAAGTTTTTTATTTCATCTTATGGTGTTTCTTTAGAAAACAGGCATATATGCTTGTGTAACAACAAAAATATTAAAAAAACTATATACATTTTTATTCTGAGTATTTGTATTATCTTTTATTACAATCTTGCAAATTAACACAAGCGACAATAAAACTGACAAAAGTTCTAGACTTATAATTTGGATAAACTGTAACTAAAATATTATCATAGCAGATATTTTTCATTAAGATACAAGCTCAGAATGTATGAATCCATAGCAGTGCCGACACTAGGCATGGGCAGACTGTGCGATTGCCCAAGATCCCGCAAGTTAAGGGGCCCAATGATAGGACAGTGGGGAAAACATAGTTAAAAAATTGAAAAAGAAATTAGAACTCGTGAAAATAGTTATCATAATTCGAAACACGGTACAGTAGTCTGCTATTTCATACAATTTTCTATTAATTTTTTACCTTGAGTAGTTAATTACAATCATTACTTATAAGGTAGGACTCTATGAAATGAATCAAATGATGCTGATATTATAATAGGTTCAATCAAAATTAATATTTATTACTTCATGTTTTAACAAGTGATTTTATTAAACACTAACTAAACAACAATTTTTTAGCATTTTAAGCTCATCATGGAAATTGTATTATTTAATCACTAAATACTTGTACTTAAAACTTACTTATTTAAAATATATTTCCAAAACCTTTTTGTAGTTTAAACATTGTAATTTTTGTTATTTATTGAAATATAATAACTCATATAGTTTCTTGAAACAATTTTCACATTTTTAATTTTTTCGGAAGGGGAGAGCTACGTTTTAATATTTCCCTGGGCCCAAAATTGTCTCGCTCCATCACTGATCCATAGACTTTAAGATATTTAATTAATACAAAAAATTACTAAACATCTACAGAGATTACCACTATGAAGTTTAATCATTTCAAAGTTGTTCTCTCAGAAAGTACAGCAGCAATCCACTGAAGAAAAGTGTGAACTTTTATAAAAACAGCTGGTAAAGTTAAATCGCCACACATGGGTCCAAAACTGTCTATTCCAATCATATAAAATATTTCATTCTCATCTTTCACCATTAATGGTCCTCCACTGTCCCCCTGTAAATATGAAGACAAATAAATCCTGTCAAAATATGAAGACAAATAAATCTTGTAACTCTGTGTATTTTGTAGCTTTTAATTTCAGAACAGAACAATAATACTGCAGGCAAATCAGAAGTAATGGAACAGTGGCAGATCTGTGTATGCGTGTGTGTGTGTGTGGGGGGTTCAGCAACCGTGCCTCCCCTCATCTTTCTCTTGAAGAAATTTATAGAGCGAGGTCCTAACCAAGGCTGAAATCACACTATTTTCAGGGAGACGGTTTCGACTACTATAGAGTAATGAAAATGATTACATAATTAATATAGTAGACAATTACATTATTTTATTTTCACAACAATTAACTATTGCACATTGGACATGTCCAAATGTATAAAATTCAGAATTGGAAAACTCATTTTTTAAAGAAAGTAGTGACTAAAGTATTTCAGAAAATAATCGAAACCTGCTGACAACCCACTATCTCTACCAGGTACAGCTGGCATTCAACTATAATTTGTGCTCTCCTGAAATACTTTCCAGACCTGTTCCTTATCAGAAATATTATTTTCCATGTTTCTCACCAACAGGATGTAGTTATATTACATGTATAAGTCAATATTATCCAAAATTTGTCTTAAAAATGAACAATCATCAAGTTAAGAAACAGGTGTATAGTAGTTCTTTCACTACATTAGTCATTAAATCAAAAACCGATCACATAACCAGCAGCATATCAATTTGAAGATAAAGTAAAATACCAGCTTCTCAGCTTTTTTAATAATTAAACAAACACTGCTACTAATGTGACTAGAAATCAATGTCTTGGGTAGGGCTTGCAGTATCAAGATCTCCAATATCTTATTGTATTGTGTTGATTGCAGTATATTGTACTGATAAATTATTTTCTCTCTGCAGAAACTTTCTAAATGCTATTACCAAAGACATGTGATTTTTAACACCCTTTAATATATCTACCATTTAATATTTTCATGTTTTTCTTATCTCTCCCCATGCTTTTCAGAAATGTTTCAAACAAGACTTGGGACAAATTAAAAGCTAAGAGAATCAGTACCTGACAAACACCTCCATTAACTGATGTAGGTGTTTGCTTTTGGTACTGATATTACTATGTGGGAATGGCAGTGATAGGGTCTAGTGATGTGAAAGTGCCTGTAAATAGTAGCTTGAAAATACGTATAGGTTAGCTTCGGGTTATTTGCAAATAAAAATAGTGTTAGCTGGTAGGTGGCGTCCTGAACACGGGACACCATAGGATGTTTAGGAGGGAAACAACAGTTCTCGCGAAGACACAGAGGTGGTCAGAGGTGTGTGTTGTAAGTGAGAGAGCATGGACTGCATCCGCCAGTATTGTGATAATCACAGGAGATTTTTTAAATACTAAAAGTGCCTTCAGTACTGCATCCCATTTAATTCTGCAACTACATCCCTTTAGGGGGGAAAGTGAGCAAATATCTCATTGTAAGATCGGAGAATTGATTGATAATGTGATACTATTATTACCCCAATGCCTGACTTTCAGTGGTGCTACCAGCTACCTGAAATTGCCTAATATTAGACTCCAGTGACTGAACGACAGTATATAACTGGGAAATGTCTACTTTGCTATTTCCATGAATAACTTACAAAATTAGTATGTGCAAATCATATTGCAATACTACATAACATATCATGGAACTTCATTTAATGAGTATTAATTTAACACAGTTTAAACATCCCTGTACCTCTCATACGTACCTGAAGATTCTTACCAAGTAATGATCTTCAGAAAGAAGCTTCTAATAAAATGTTTATCTCCACAACATGATTGTTTGAAATTTTAGTGGTGCTATCAGAACTCAAGAAAGTACACTAATTCAGTACATCCATTTTCATTGCTAATTTATCAATATAGACCTTAATACTACCAACTTCATTCGAAAATGTCAGATTTTGGGAACATGTCAGCTACTGGTTCCTTTACCTTGAGTGAAACACATTGAGCTAGGACATATCCTGCTGAGTCCTGAGAATTTGTGAAATTGAAAACAGGGGAGTGTAATGTACCCAAGTAAAGAATACTATGCTCTCAGAATCGGGGGAGGGACGACCTGTTTTGTGTGCAAAGAGCTGCCACTGCTAATTACTTTAATTTATAAAATGCATTAAAAAAATAGGAAGGAACTACAGTGACAACTTTCAGAACAGGATTAATATAGTCACATAAGGGATCATCCACGAAAGATTTCTCTTGCTGTGTCCATCAGTGCCCAAAATAGCAACCCCCCCCCCGTCCTTAAACAGACATTTATAATTATACTCCTTACTCTCCTTCTTCTTGTTAAGTGATACAAGGTATACAACTTTGCCTTCGCCGTTTTTTCCTAAAAATATGACTCTTATTTGAACAAAATGCTTTACACAGATATTATTCAAGTAATGTCCATCCGGCTGCCACAACTTTTTCCCATCTTTCCGGCAGTGTGCGAATGCCGCGTCGAAAAAATTGTTATCTTTGGAGGCGATCCACAAATCAATCCACTTTTTGACATCTTCAAATGATCGACGTGTTGCTCAGCCAGGTCGTGGGCCATTGATCGGAACAAGTGATAATCAGAGGGAGCAACGTCTGGAGAATACGGCGGGATGGGGTAGGATGTCTCCATTTCAACGTTTCCTAGGTACGTTTTGATTCACTCTTGCAACGTGGGGCCTAGCATTGCCATGCAGCAAAATCACCTTATCGTGCCTCTCGCTGTACTTGCGGGCGTTTGTCTTTTCATAACTCGGCTCAAACGCATTAATTGCGTTCGATATCGATCCACCTGTGATTGTTTCACTTGGTTTTAAAAGCTCATGGTACACTCGTCCGCGAGCTGGTCCACCAAATGCAGAGCATGATCTCGGACCCATGAATGTTCGGTTTTGGCCGTCGACGTGGAAGCATGGACCGGGATAACCCCCATGATTTTTTTTCCGTTTAGGGTTATCGTAATGAAACCATTTTTCGTTCCCGGTCACAACGATGCAGAAAACCCTTCCGTTTTTGACTCTGAAGCAACTGTTCTCACACAACCACAAACGCCTTTCAATGTCTCTCGTTTTCAACTCATATGGGACCCAAGTTCCTTCTTCTGAATCATACTCATGGCTTTGAAGACGTTTTGAAATGGCTTGCTGTGGTCACCCCCAATGATCGTGCCAGTTCTTCTTGAGTTTGACGCGAGACTTCACTCAGGAATGCTCCCAATTCTGCGATCCTCAAAAAACTTTCACTCTTCCGCCACTTCACGTTAAAGTCACATTCCTGAAAGCGTTGAACACACTCGTGACACGTGTCTCTCCTAAATACAATCCTCACCATAAGTACTGGAGAGCATTCGAGATGAGACTCAGCCGCAGTTTTCTTCATATTGAAACAAAAAAGCAGAAGCCTCCCGCAAATGTACGAGAATTCGGGCTCGTACACTGACATTTTCAATCGCGAACAACGTTACGTTGCACACACAAATCCACTAATGTTTGTGAATAGGGTTTTGTTGCCAGAAGCTCACAGCTAACTGCTGACGTCTGCGAATCTGTTTTATCGCGACCTTAACTTTACCACTGTAGCCCACATTGAAAAACGGCGGAAGCAAAGTTGTACACCTTGTAATATAAAATATTATGGTGGAAAAGTAAATGGAATTTAGTTATGCAATAGTTTGAAATATTAATCTAAAAATGTTTAAATCCATGTATTTCCTCTTAAGCTTGTGGATATCTTTCGTGGACGAACCCTAAAATGTATATTTTTATATACTGACAACAGTTGGAAAATTACAAATCCTTGGACCTTGAATTGTTAGATATTATCTCTGTGAGTGAATCAACTTCTCAGTTACCTTGTTTTGTAAACAGCACTTCTTACCTTGCATGCTCGTGAAGTGGAACAAATCATGTAGTTAGCAATTGAAACATCCCTCCAGGCTGCTTGACATGCTCTTCGGCTTACAAGAGGGGCTGATGTTTTTAGTAATACTGGTGACAGTCCACTTTCAGTCATCCCCCAACCAGCGAACACTGGCTGAGCTGGCGAAAATATGATTCCTAAGTAGAAGTTAAATAATCAAGAACTAACAAAACCTTCATTGTATCCTAAATAACTTGATTTATACAGAAATTTAAGCAAGAAGAAACCTTTTGATCTCCCTAATTTGTTTTGAACTGTGGTGACCTGTTGGTTGGTTTTGTGATGATTAGTATCCTTGTAACCAGAGATTGAAAGTATAAAGCCATTACCCTGTTAGTATATCCCCTTGAATTTCATTGCTGCATTACAAAAATTGAAAGATCTGCATTTGGTGAAATCACTGAAGAATTGCTTTGTTCTAATCTTGAAGGCTAAGTAGGGAGATTGGAGAGCAGAGAATGATAAACATGTGAATGATGGGCAAAGAAGACTTGAGAATAAAGGGAGATTTAAAGGAAATTTATAGCCTTTTTCAGAATAGAAGATAAGAAATTATTGATGCATTTTAAGTTATTTAAAAATATTTTCGAAATACCTGAAATAAAGGATCAAGAAACATTTAAAATTCAGACATCTAATAAATAAAAAACATTCATTAGCTTACAAAAATTATTCTCGTCTTTCACCTGTTTGTGGTAAACATATTGGTTGTATAATGCTGCTGTACTTTATGCTCTCAGAGAGCTTTAGAAGAGCTACATCATAATTTACTGTATGATAAGATGGATGACGCACTATTTTACTCAATGATTTTGTTACTGCATTTGGTTCCCGTGCAGAAATATCATGAGCACCTAATACAATTTCCAATCTCTTAATTGGTGGTGTTTCAGAGGAACTTCTGGAGGAAAAAATAAAATAAAATATAAATATGCAAAACTAATATGGTAGATTAATTAAAGGCAATTAAAATCAGTAATTTACAATTCAGTGCAATGCCCTGCTGTAATTAACCAGTTAGAAGTTATTAATGAAGCAGTACATCGCAATGATGAATCAAGGAGAAGTAATGCAATCCATGGGAACTCATGAGGAACTGCTTCATGTCCATTGAAAATTTTCTCTGTCAACTTCTTGCCAATTGAGAAATGTGGCAGTGAGGTGGTACTGCCCAGAATGTTTCCATTTACTTTCTTCTTATTCACATTAACTTTTAATTGAGATCGGGTTTTTGTTTCATTTTCTTGAGATATATCTGGAATTCTTTGAAATTGCTGAATCCTTTGGATACCACATGCTTCATCTGCAAAATATGTTGACAGTCATCTATAGTAGTATTTTAGTTGAGGTAAATAATAATGTTGACTTACTTGTTTGTATCATATAGATAATGTATTGTAATGCTACAAAAAATCAATGTTGAGATTTTGATGGAAATACAAATTAGGGGTTATTACTTATTTATTTTTTAATTTTTTGAAAAAAAAAAAATGTATGCCCATTTGTCCTTCATCCATCTGCTCTCAATCTGTAGAGAACACTGGTGCCTAAACCTTTTACAGGATTTTCTCCAAAATGGATATTTCCTGATTGATCTGGCCACTCACTCAGGACCTGCAAATTCAAAATGAATCTTTAATTTTTGTAATTTACATGAAACCTCTTAGACATTTTTCAAAATTTTCTTTAAAAGGGCTTCAAAATATTTTCTTTTACTGTCGAAGTTATGAGTAATTTTTTAGTAACTCTGAGTTAAATTGAGAATTTTGTTAGGTTTTACAGGATCTGTCAAGTTTTGAAGTTCATAAGATTTTACTGAAAATTAGTTGTACACAATTTTTATAACCATACTTTTTCAAGTGGGGGAGAAAACATGTTTTTGGTATTGAGTACACCCAAAAAGTTTTTTGTCAATTTTAAACATTGATATTTTGCAACATTACATAACTCTCTCTATACTACATAGATATTCCATGTATACAACATAGAGAACTATTAACTGTTAGGATGTTTTATGGGAAGTGTTTATTTTTGCAATACAGAATATTGAAGTATCAAAATTTAATTCTACCCTTTTGAAATTGATTTGATTAGATGTTTTCTGATGTATTGCACTATTCTGATATATGATCACTTTAAAATCAAAAATTAAGAACACATTATTTACCTGAAAGTTTTATTTCTTCACATTCAATTTGTGTTAACTGGACTTTCCACAAAGCCCCAACACTTTGTGTCACAGCAACTATTTGAACTTTTGATATAGATGACACTTCTATTAATGCTGAAAATTCAATAAAATAAAATTACTTTTTCGTATAATGTAGATTTAATGTTTTCTATTCATCACTTTATTTTCTAAACAGTTAAATGTACTAATAACATGTTTTACTCACTGGAATATCCATTTAAGAAGCCACAAAAAGGAGTATTATAATTTCCAGTAGATGGATTAACTAATATTGTAATAGAATCTTCATAACATGAAGAATCCAGAGATGGTGTCAAATCAGTCTCAAGGAAATCTATTCTGTTTTTAAATTGAAATTGAACAATACTTGTATTAAACACAGTAAAATTTTTGTTACACTTTTCAGAAACTGTAATTGCTAAAGAAATAGTTAAATTCCACCATCAAAAGAGAAGGAATAAATTTACAAAACTATTTAGGTGATCAAAGAAATAATTTAATATTATGCTGTTCAATTATGTATGCACACAAGGGGGATCGGAGGGAGGGAAAAGAGGGAAATTTCCCATCCTAAAATTTTTCATTAACTATTAATTTTAACTTGTCACTAGACTTTCAAGCAAAAATATTTTCGGATTATCATTAAATAAAATAAAAACGTATCGCAGCATGAGCTGAGTGTAGCCCGCGACATTTTACAATATATGTAATACGACGTATTTGACAAAAATATTTTGAATTTCCCCTCTGAAAATTCATGTTTGGATCTGTACCTGATACCAATAAACACAAAATAGTGAATGGCAGCAATAATATTTATAGACTCAGCTAATAACATTCATTATGTATTATGGAAATATGAAATAGCTCAAAAAGAGTTTGTTGTAATATTGATTAGGTATCAAAAATATATTATATATGCTTCCCAACATTTTACAAGAGATTGTGAAGAAAAATGGTATACTTGCTGAAGATAACATCAGCTAATGAAATGTGGAAACCAAATTCACTGAATATGATTCTATAGTTGAAAGAAGAAGCTGAAAAAATGAGTCAGAAATAGAAAAAAATGAAAATTACTTCCTTTTTTATTGTGGTTGATTGATGAGATATGTTAGATTGCATAACATTTCTTAAATTTTAAAGTCAGCTGAAGTGTACTCCCATTGTAAGTTACTTAGTATCAAGGTTGATTAATCCAATACCACAGTAATGTACACTTAATACATATTATTTACAATTCCTACACCACTTCTGGATTTAGAACAAATGTTTATTTACTCTTACTACTGGATTTAATTTGTACCAGTGTCCTTGCACTGAACATCCAACTAATGGGGTGCCAATGTGTATAGAATTTTGCAATACCAATTCAGATAAAAATATGAGCATAATATTTTCTTTAAATCTTGCAATATAAATTCTTCCAGTGAATAAATGAATTTTTAACCGTCGGAATTGATCAGAGTTAATCAACTTACCTACAAAGTTAGAGTTTCAAGTTACAAGAGATTCTAAAAATTATTAGATAATTATTCAAACGTAAGATCTAGTGGACTACAGCATCATGTATTTTCCAGTATTCTTTATAACCTTTACAATTTTTGAAAGTTGAAAGAGTGCTAATAGAAATAGGAACCATTTTAGTCAATGTACTTTGCACTATTTGAGAAAAAAAAATTAAAGAATAAGTTTGAGCCTTTTTGGAGCTAATCATTTTAAAATTACCTGTTTTTTTGGCCCCAAATTATGCATAAACTACTCATATTTGGAAGAAATGTACTTGGCCTCATTTAAAGATATAAGTTTTTAAGAACTGATTTCTTATGGGTAAACATTTTTATCTTCTAGATTGTAGTTGTAGGAAGACAGTGAAGGAATGTTAAACTTTTGCAGCCTTCAAAAATCTAGAGAATTCAATGACAATCAGTCATTTTTATTAGCATACTAAATTTGCAGAAAAAAATTGAAATTTTTTTTAAAAGTTGATGCTTTATGAAAATTTCCCTCAAATTAAATATTTTATTTCAAATTATCAAGAGTCATGTCATCCATCAGATAGAGAGGTAATTATCAAACTGTGATGAAATCCGGCCTAGATTCAATATCTGTTCGAGGTTGTTCATAGAAGAAATGAATAGCGGTGATTAGTAGTAAGCAATTTTTTTGGTATCAAAGACCACAAATTTCCTAGACTCAACAGATTATTAGAGGAAATTATTTACAACTTCAGGAAAATAGAGTTAGAAGTAGGTACTGTATCTGCTCGTATGTTTCTTTGGCTCTATACAATGACTACCAGCAGAAATATTGAAAGAGTTCGCTCGAAGAATTGTTCTACAAAGGACGTCATGAATTTTGAAAGGATAACTTTTAAAGTATCTCTTAATAAAAAACTATTTTTAATTTGAGTATTTCTAACTTTGGGCTGAATGTAAACAGAGTATCATCCTCACCTTATAGCACATGTTGTTTGTTTAGTTATCATACTGATTTCACAATTTACTGAATATGTTTCACCTTTAGGGTAACTGGGATTTGTAAATGTTACAGAATTTTCTTCTGTGAAATTTACACACGGCTTCACTAAACAAAAATAATTATATTAATGGCACATTTTAATGAAAACATAAATGTTCTTCTAAGTGAAAAAATACTACAGCAATGAATGTAAAAA